AACAGCAATAACGATTCCCTCACTCAGAATGATTTCAAATAACGGAATAGCGAAAACCGTTTGCCCTATCCGAAATATTTCGCATAAGGGAACAGTAACAACGATTGCATCCACCCGAATTATTTCAGATAACAGAACAGAAACAATGATCCCCTCACTTAGAATGATTTCAGGTAACAAAAACGCAACAACGATTTAATCTTCCCGAATAATTTCAGATAACGGAAAAGCAACACCGATTCCATTACTACAAACGATATCAGATAACGGAACAGCAACAACGATTCCGTCCCTCTGAATGATTTCATATAACGGAACAGCTCCAGCCAAATTTTTAGATGACGGAAAAGCAACACGAATCCATCCCTCCGAATGATTTCAGATAACAGAATAGTAACTATTCTTTTCCTCCGAATGTTTTTCAGATAAGGAAACGGCTAGATTGATTCCCTCACTCTGAATGATTTCATATAATGCAAAGGGAACAACGATTCGTTGCTTGAGAAGGATTTAATATATCGAAACAGTAGCACGATTCCCTTTCTCTCTGACTTCAGATAACGGAACAACAAAACGATTCCCTGCCTCCGAATGATTTCAGATAACGAAACATCCGTTCAAAAATGTTATATAAAATAACGAAACAGAACCAAGAATCCCCCCCACCCCGTCGAATGATGTCAGATAACGAAACAACAACAGCGATTCCCTCTAACTGATTTGAAGTTATCGGTGATACCATTTTTATTACAATATTTACACTTATACTACTTGAAACTTATTGCTAATTATTTTAACTTGCAGTTTAATTTCAATATTTGCCTCGTGGACACAGATGAAATTGTAAATAATTATAACACGTAAAGCTGCTACGAAATTAGCTGAAGTTTGAAATCTTTAAATGTGAGCAATGAAAAAAGCATACGAATTTCGTATATGCAGTTGGCAATATATATTATTTTAGGTTTAAGTTGAAGATTTTTCAAAGCCTGGAGAAAGGTAGGTTGTATTTCTCGATTTGTAATTATTCGTGTAATTGAAAACGAGATCTTTTTAAACTATCAATATCCTGAAAAGTTCACGATTTTCCGGGTTTTAATTTTCTGATGATATTCTTTGCGATTTCCACAGAGGTGAAATACCTGTAGTATTTCCGCTAATGTATTGCTCAATATATTAGCTTAACAACTTTAACGAAATACAGGTAACAATCCTGTTTATAGTGTTTTAGCTCGTTGTCATTGAACACTAACTAACGAAGGGTAATTATAAATGAAAAGTGAATAATATACTATTTCCTCGATTATCCGATCACAATTAGAATGTCGTAGAAATATCTAATCTGAAAATTCAAAATTCCGGATAAATGAATATCTAAATGAGAAAGAATGAAAAAAAGAAACATTTTTTTTAAAAAGTAATTCATCATTTTAATAATCATATAACATTTTGAACCGTAAATATTTTGTCTAGTTTAGTTTATTTTATCTGTCAGTTTTTGCCTACTTGAATGCCATAATGCCTGGCGTGATCAAGCTGCGAAAATTAAAATTCTTTCTGTGAAGACGATGAGGAAATTCAAGTCCGGATAATCGAAGTCTGGGAAATAAAAGTACGGGTAATCGGGGAAGTACTGTATTAAAGAAGATATATGAGATAAATAGCATTTTACAAGACGGCCATTATATAATATGTCCATTTTAATGCTACGCAAAATCTCTTTCATTACATTCTATTTCCTACTTTTTTCTTCCTTATTTCCATTTCACTGAAGCAGATGTTAATAGCATGAGAACATTATCCTCTACCTCTCATTTGTCCTTCTTTCTCGTGGCGATCAGTCTAAGAAAAGAAGTTTTATGAATTCGAAAAAACGGGGGTGAAGGCAAGAGGAAAGTCCTTCACTATATTCCGAAGGATTCAGTGCAATAAACACATAATATATTAAAAAAAATATTGTGGATCGTCATGATCACTTATATTATGCAAAGAGGGAAAGTTTACAAAATAAACAATTCCTATTCCAGATATTTTAGTATGCTAAGAGTTTTTTGTCATGAAAAATATTTTTCTGCGTATAAAACCCGTTTCCATAGACGTGCAAAAGTCACCTTCGCCGCAAACCAGCATTTTGCCGGATTTGGTGCAACTGTCGCTCTGACTGTGCTTATTTGGCATTTACGCAGGATTAGGTTTGATATCAAAGTAGCTAAAATGTCAAAGGTTACAATTCTGTGATACTATTTCCGTATAAACGACGATGGTGATATTTTTATATGATGCTGCTCGCCTCCAATTTTAAAATATATATTCTCATATCGTACCAGACTCGCTGTATATGACAACATCCACACAAAAAACACCCACATATCTAAATATAAAGTATTAGCACTGTCAAAATTGTTGAAATTGTTAGTGTTCGTCTACGTGACAAATTCCCTATTTTAGTAACCCACTACAATTTTTATGCGCCACCGTGAGGTTCATTTAAAAAAAAATA